GAATTATGTATTTTCAGGAGTCAGAATGCTAATGCAGCAGGTATTCATTGCAACCCCTGAGAAAGATGGCAAACTGAACAGAGAATAATACAGGAGAAAAAGGGAGGATCCTTGGCCAAGAAATTCAGGATGCCATGCTGAGAGAATTAGTATAGGCACTTGAGCACCTTATTCCTTCCATTCAGAAGTTCAAAGCAGCAGTGGATACCGTATTCAGGAGAGGGTGCTCTATAGTATGGTTTCTTAATAGGTGTGAGAGAGAATTCAAGTGCCTCTGTATCATCCCAGCAGTCCCTCCTCATCTTCCCTCCCTGAAGCTACAATGCTGCAAAAATCTAAAGAACCTTTTGTATGAAAGAGACTTGCTTTCAGGTTTTTTCAAACATTTCATGAGTTACAAAGTCTTCCAGTCTATTCTTCCTTCCAAAGAGTTCTTTAGTCAAGAGGATGAAAAAAGAAGTGATCCATTTGGGATGGTGCATATTAAGGCATTGTAACTGTCAGGAATGCTGCCGAGGTCCCTGCTCCTGGACCTTCCCATGTAAGTGACCACTCTGGCCACTACAGGGCAACCTGCTTGTCCAGCGTAGTTCTGGGCAGCACAGACCATACTGGTTAATGCATTGATCCATGGAACTTTAAACTCAAAGACAGATTTTCTAGTAAATCAGATTATGTTTCTTTTTTAATACAGTAGGGTCTCTTTTAAATGGATGAAACAGATTAGCTACTCTGGATGCTCTACTATTGCGATTCTGAATGCTTAATGTTGTTATAGAAAGTGTAAGAAACATTTAGATTAACTGAGCTGGAAACAGATCGTTCAAATGGAAAGACTTGTAGTTTTAAAAGAAATTATGGGGAAAGCAGATATATGGTATTTTGCCAGTAAGATGCAGGGCTCAGTGTCAAAAAGCAAGCACTTAGGCTTTAAAATAAGATTTTATTGTTGGTTAAACTCTTAATTTATGCTTTAGGAAATGTGGCTATATGGTGCAGTATCCTTATAGAGTGCTGTACTTGTTACGAGATGTAATGATTTGCTCTTGATCTTTGTTCAAGAGAAACCTCATGGCATCGAGTTAACTAACAGCTTTGTCTCGGAAGGAACATATATTAGCTTAATATTTTAGAGGCTTCTGTTTCAGCTAGTTGTATATGTGCTAATGCATGTAAACAGTTTAAATGAGCTCAGGCTATTCTTTGACAGCTCAAATAAATTAATCTCTGAAGTTAATCCATCTAGATCTTGTGACCCATTTGAAAGAAGCTGCCTTTTTGTTAGCACTGTAAGAACTTGAATAAACAGTGTACAAGCATTTGAACATTAATTTCAAAGTATTAATCTAAAGGCTTTGTGGTCAATGTATATTAAAAGTTTCAGCTTGAAGATCTTTTGTTCATGACATTCTGCTTTAACCACTCTTTCTATGATCTACTGATACATTATTTTGTTAATGCCGAATGCTTAACTTTTTTCTTTCTTTTTCCTTTCTCTTCATATCCTGAAGTTCCAACTAACCTTTCAATGCTTTTTTTCCTTACCTCTTTTATTTGCTCCATTTATGCATTAAGTGGTTGCTTAGATTTAAGGTAAGAAACCCCAGGGCTGGATTTCCATTCTTCTTCTTCTGAGATTATTACACACGGGGAGATGATTAACATGAATATTACTGATTGTTTAAAACAACACCCGCTCTCTCTTCTGTGTAGAACTTCTGTTGAGTGATTTCATTGCAGATAAGCATTTTGTGATATAAATTGATGTGTTTATGAAAGGAAGCTAACACAGTTAATTTTAAAAGCTTTGTGGCAAAATATCGACTGCCTTCAGCATATCTACCAGATCATTTACAAAGGAGGGATGATGTGCTAGCCTTGTCTAGACAAAAAGGTACAGAGAACAGATAGCAGCTGAGTTTGAGCCTCCCCCTGTGTAATATTCTTTTTATCCTATATACGGTGTAAGTTATGGTTTGATTGGGATTAATGTTTCAGTGTGAGATTGCTCAGATAATGGGCTCCAAAGGTGTGTAACAAATTCAAATCTGTATATTATTTTTTAAAGTTGCAGTATTCTTTATTTTTTCAGAAACTGCTAGCACTGTTTACATACTGAGAGGCACTCATATGTGGAAACATCCACAAATCGGTTAATTGTGTAAAATACTTAAGAACCCTTAAAAAACAAGCTAAGTGATCTATTTAGTTGAATATTAAATGAATCAAAGAACTCAGGCTGAAGTATGTCAGATTCTCAAGGATCTTAGAGGTTTAAATGTTAGTAGTCTTAGTGGCTGCAGACGCAGCAATAAAAAGCATCAAATCAATTAGGCAAGCAGTTAAATGAAATTATATGATATTATGGTGGAGTTCATAGCACATTAGTTAATAGATAGGTTATAGCCTTTATTGAGTATTAGGATATCATCCTCCTCCTGAAGCGCAACGGGTTTGGGGAAAGTGGGAATGAAAGTTTTTTAGTAGCAGCTGTGACAGTTTTAAAGAGGGAACTGGTTTAGAACATAGGACGCTAATATGTAGTACGAGTCTATGAATTAAAGGAAGTTCCAAGTTGATGTGAAATATTTTTAAGTATTTTCTGTGACTGGAAAAAACTAAAAGAAAATCCTGCAAATTCTTGAGAAGACTGCCTGTAAACCCAGGTGTTTCTATATATATCCCCATGATATCCCTGTGAGATTGGCCAAATGGTACTTTTAGTCAGGTGTTAAGTGTATGTAGCATATTTGATAACAATGGAAAACTTTTAATAAATGAGAGAATTCTCACATGTCATTTGAAATTTATTTTTACTTGTGAGGCATGCAGTATTTCAACTCACATAGTATATAAGTGCTTTGAATTTGAGGATGGCAAAATATATCTCCTCCCTGGCTTTTACTTTCTGTCTGCACAAAATGTATACTTCTAATGCTGAGTATGTCTTCTGGACACAGTTCATATTGGGTGATCGTTTTCTCAGTGTTCTTAAAAAAGCAATTTGCAAACTCAGTTTTCTTTGTTGCTCTCTGTAGTTGCAATTACAAACAAGTAATGACTATTCTAAAAAAAGTTTTAAAATTGTATAATTGTCGTTTATGTGTGAACTGCCATATCTGTGCATGATCTGCAGTGGTGATAAGAGTCTCTTCAGCTTTTCAGAGAAAATAATTTTTTCTGTTTATAGGTTTGGAATGGAAATAACATTTTTCATTATAACACCAGTTAAAATATTTCTGTATTTTTACTAGGGTGAACCTGATTAGAAATTTGATTTGAGAAATCACAATATGTCAATCAACTTCTCATTGCCAAAACCTGAGGGTTTAAAAAAAAAAAAGAAAAAAAGGCAAAAGCAGCACAGCATCTCTCTGTGGACCCAAGTTGTTTTTTCTCTCACTATAGTCACTATGCCTCAGGCTGAAAGGAGAAAACTAAATGTAACCCCAGTTCTGTGTGAATGGTTTTTTTATCTCACTTATAGTGATTAAATATGAAGAATTTAGACTGCTTTTATTTTTTATGACTGCAGAAAAACCTTAGTGTTAGCTAACAGCTACAATGTTAAACTGACTGACTGTAGCAGGGATAACTATGCTTGTGTCTGGGTAACTTAAATTTTAATTTTTAACAGATTTTGAAGAAAATTCCAGTTACAATTCAGAGGAGTATCTGTAGCATCAGCTATCATCAAATCAATTGAAAATGACATTGTTTAAGACTTTTAGTATTTACCAGACTTGGTTCTTCAATTACTTTACATAGGGGGTAAAACAAGTAAACTCACTTGCTGAAGCTTCTACTCGTGGTCATTTGCCAAAACAGGGCTGAAATTTATACACTTCACTTCCATATAAACTGGTAATCAGCTGAAAAGCATATAGATATGCACAGTAAGTATTCGAGTGGCTGAGCACAACCTGAAAGGGAATTTGCTTTGAGGTAGTAGATGATGGGCAAAAAATCTGTTCATTGTCTCAGTAGCATTAACAAGATGAAGCAAGGCATGGGAAGGTAGTTTTTATTTTTCCTGAAATTGGGCATAAAATTGCTCAAGAAGATTGAGTAGCTGCTTGAAGTTTTTGAATATAATCCATCACTGATGGGACACTTTTTCTTACTAGATTTTGGGCAAAAGATTATTCTTTTGACATTCTGAAAGTTCTAGAAAATACAGTGTGACAGTAAAGCACCACTTTAAAATTTCTGGCTGAGTCCAGCTTTAGAAAGCATCTCCTCCTGAGGTTTGATTCTGTGGAATATCTGATATTCAGGATCTTTGGAAAAAAAACCTCAACCAACCAAGAAACTTGGTTTTGGTAATTGAACTGATGATGAGATGTTCTTCAGAAGAGTAAAAATGTGGATTGAAAGCTTTGTTGCAGGTAAGTGCCTCACAGCTGCATAAATACAGGGCTTCGATGCAAAGTTTTTGCAGTCTGTTGACCAGCTATTATATCTGACCAACTGTGTATTTCTGCACTTCTTGTTCAGTGATTATTTTGCTTGTGAAAATATTCCCAAGAATGAAATTGAATGAACTTGCAGGATTTATCAGTTTTAACCAGTTTATTTCACTAAAAATTTCTTACACAGTGGAGTGCTAAAGAAACTCAGTATGTTAAATGTTTATAAAAATGTAACTGTGAAGGAAACTCAGTCGTATGTTGGACTGCAAGATACTGGAATCTATGAAAAACTAGATGCCAAAAATAGAAATTGGACAAACACATCTTAATTATTAAAAAAAATTAAACTTTAAATGATAGTTTTTCCTAGGGACTGTAATCAGTGCTGCATTGTGTCTTAAAGTAATCAGATGGTACCTTTCTAGAACTGGCACTGTAGCTCAGTATAGAAAATATTGGTTGAAATACTGTTGTACCCTTTTGAAACAGAATGGTCCATAGGGATACATTTCTTTACAGTTTGTTTTGTGGCTGTTACTGTGGAGCTGGATCTCAGAGCATCCTCCACAATGTGTTACTTACCAAGGATCTGCTCTTTAAGTAGTTTCTGCAGGTTCTTCCTCAGCAAAACTTCCAGTTCCAGCTCCAGTACTGACAAAGTTACAGCTTTGGTAGAAGACATTTTTTTCTGTAGTGCAAGTGCTTCCTAATTCATGCATAAAAAGCTTCTGCAAGGTATCCAGTAAAAAAAAAGCTTAACCAAGATCTCACTAGATTTATTTGGTGTTCCACCATGTAACTTCAGTTGGTAATATTTTTTTACCTTTTTTTTTCTTCAGTGGGAAGAGGCAAAAAAAAAAAAAAAATTGGAAAAATCCCTTCATCCATTCTGCACAGACCCTGTGCCCTACTTGTCTGCTCGCAGGGTTGTCTTCCTGCTTTCACATCAGTAAGCTTTGTTTTTTTCCGAGCTTTGTGCCCAAACCATCACTGCCTCTCATTTTTTTTTCTGATTTCAGCACAGTAGTTAGCTGTTTTGGCATTTATGAGCAAAGGCAGAGATACTCCTCTGTGTTTCTGGTTGCAGGCTCTATTTTGCCATGCATTTTCTTAAAATAATTTGCAAGCTTTAATCTAGAAACCAACCCCAGATCTGTGGGGTCCTGCAGTCAAACAAACCACCAAGAGACAGATGCATTCCTCTGCTTTCACCCTCTCATTAAATCAGCTGCATCTGGGTAGTTCCAGCTGTGCAGAACCAGGGGAAATCATGTCAGAAACACTACAACTTCTGGCAAATACCAACTTACTCCAGAAAACAGATTTTTGAAACTTGACAGCAAATGCAAATGTGACCTTGAGTTCTGATGGTTGCTTCGGATTTTAGAAGTTTGTAAGAGGGATGTGTGTGAATGAGGATTTGTGTATGGAAACTATATTTACAACCATATGTGCAAAACAGAAAAGGCAATAAAGTTTGAAAGAAAGGGGGTGTTAAAGGCTTCCTTTCCCCCCCCCCCAAGTAGAAGTTATCATAGGAGACAGTTGGAAATGTTCCAATATTTGTATCTCAGCTAAAGTTGCAACTTGTATAGTTTTAGATTTTCTTTTAACATCTTGAATACTTTTATTTCCACAGATCTGTCTATTTTGATCAGAACCACTGAAATAATTTTATATTTTTAATTTCTCTTCTGTGATTATTTGGCAGTAAGTCAAAGGGGAAGTTACTTGCACACGGTTAATTAACTTGGAGCAGCTTGTCTTAAAGCCATCAGTCCTGTCAGATTTGAAGACAACCCTGTCAATTTTAATTACTTGCTCTTTGAACATCTTGCTTTCAATACCCTGAAAAGACCCTGCAACTAAGCTTACTGTCAGTGTGTTTCCCCATCTTTCAGTTTAGTCTTTTTTGGGGATGGCTTCTTTGTGACTAAGTTTCTGAGGTAAAAAGGGATTGCTTTTTGTTTGGACACATTTTACGAAGGTTTTTTTCCCATCCTGGATCAAGGATATGTTTATTTGCAGTGTTAATGAACTATCTAGCAGTCACTGGAGTTCTGTGTTAGTCAGGCAAGTATTGCCTACACTTTTTACTATATGTGGTCTGATGTTATGGCATGTTTCGCCTCAACTGTCCTTTCTTTTCAGGTAGCTATAACCCACTGGAAGCTTAAAAGTTCATTTTTGGTTTTGCAATGATTGTATATAAAATAATAAGATTCTTTGTGGTTAAATATATGGAATTTTATATTAACTGAAAGTTAACATAAGCTTTAGATTTATGTAAACTGTAAAGTGGTTACATCATCTGGTGCAAAACAATAGTGTAGCCAGTTAAAACACCTAAATGGACTATTCAGGGACACACAGATTGGTCTCTTTGTTGTCATCTAAAAACCAAAGGCTGAGTAGGCTGTTTGAAATATAGCAACTGACAGTTCAGTGAGCGTTTAGTTAAGGTGTATTTTGTCTGTGCGTGGTTTTTTTTGACAACTCAAATAGGTAGGTGGGCTAAACAGCCATGTTTAATGAAAGAGGAAATACAGGGGGTGCTGCAACTTTAAAAAAAATTCAGATTTTGCTATTTCTTAAATGTTCCGTGTATAGAATAAAATACACTTCATTTTACACTTTCTCTTTTCCCTTCAAGTAGTTGTAGATCAGTGCTTACCTCATCCCTCACTTGAATTAACTTTAGATTTCTTGTTGCTTAGAGTTGGCTTAAAGGACTTTATAATGCTGTGCAAAATAATTTTGTCTTAAATTGACATTACAAAGTAATGCACAACTAAATTCAAGCATCTGTTTTTGAATCAGTCAAAAAAAAACCCTTCCGATGCTTGGTTTTCTTTTCCTCCCAGCAGATTGAAAATGCGATAGCATTGGGGTTATTTAGAGCCAGAAAATCAAGTTTCAGTGGATTAGACTGAATGTTTTACTCTTTACACTGTTGTCAATATTTATCAATTCACAAATCTAAACATTGCCAAGGTTTTAAGTGAGTTGTTCTAGTCAAATTTTAAAGGAGTAGTTTGCCTTTAATGATGTTTGCAAATACTCTGAATGCCTTGATTGCTGTTTCATTTTTATATGGGAGGTGGGGGCAGTAGCCAAAGCTTACATTTCTGAAGGAAGAAACACTGTGAAATAGAGCATGACAGAAAGAACAGAAAAAGGGATGTAAGCATACTTGTTTAGGTTTGTTGAATATCTCTGTGTCTAAGCAATAGTTTATGCATTCATGAATCCAAGCTGTTCTGTGAGTAGATCATGTACTGATTCCTGTAAGGATACAGGCATTGAGAGTTATGCTTGGCTGGCAGGCTACAGACAAGCCAAATGCCTACATTGGTAACAATTGTTTATGATTCCTAGATTGATCAGTCAGGAATGCAAATGAGTTTTGGAAAGAAGTTAGAGTAAATTATTTTTGTGCAAAATTTAAATTTACTTCATTAGTATTTTAACCTGAAAGAGGGGAAGTGGACAAACTACAGTTATGTCACTGCTAAATATTTTACTCCATTTATTTATAAATTCTTAGAGATTAAATTGCTACACATTTGGCGTGGGGAGAAAAAAGTGCATCTTTGTATTTTTCTCAATATGGCTTTCTCTGTATGTTTACAGGCACATAATTAATATTGACAGTAAATATTATCATCTGTAAAAAAATTTATATGCTGTGAAAGCATTAAAACATTAATGGATCATATTTATAGATTACTTTGACTTCTGTACACTTTTCTGCATAAATCACATTAGATTGTGGCCTATTAGATAAGCTTTAGTATTTTTAAACAGTATTCAAAAATATTTTTGCAAATTTACCATTCAGTAGTGCAATGTGAAATAACTGCCTTTATCTCAAGAGATGACTGGGAGGTTCGGCCAAGTTAGGTACAGTGCCTCTATTGTCAGTGATTGTTTCTGATAGCCCGAAGGCAAATTCACTTTTTTGTATATACAATTTTTAAAAACCCTATCTAATAAAGAGTCCTTTGAGCGCAACTCTTGACTTCTAGCAGAGTGGAAATTGCATATAAAACGCATGGCCTCTCAATTTCTTTTTTTTTGTTTAAACCTTCCCCTACTTAGAGTTAATTGCTAAAGGCATCTCAGTGTCTCTGCCCCCAGAACCTGAGCTTAGTGAAGGCCCTTTTTCTCCCCGTTCTTTCCTGCAGGTCAGCACACAGAACATGAAGATGGGTGGGCTTCCTCGTACAACACCGCCCACCCAGAAGCCACCAAGTCCACCGATGTCAGGAAAAGGAACTATTGGGTAAGTGCAGTTATCGAATGGGTAAATGGCTTTGGTGAACAAAAGAGAAAAGAGGGAAGATTCTTTCTTTTTCTGTAGTGTGGGGGTTTTTTTGGTTTTATTTTAACTATTCACAAAGATCAAGAGTTGTTATATTTGCATCCTCTTATACTGGTTGTGTCTTATATGTTTGTGTGCTTCTGCCAGAAGGCAGTAGGCATCGTCAGCCTTTCCCAACAGGAACCTTTTTCTCATTGCAGAACACTTACCACTACGTGCTTTAGAATAAAATGTCATTAACTGTGTGGCTTTGGCAGGTGGTGCTAAACAACTGAAAAATGAGTACATGTTCATTAATTAGTTATGCTGAGTGTGATGAAAGTACTTTCCTGTTAAGTCTATGAACTTGACTTTGGCCTTTAGCTCACGTTAGTGATCAGTATGTAGCTGTCTTTTAAAGAACGACCTGCCTTAGGTTTTGTCTGTATCACCTTAACTCGTTTCCGTGCCGTGCTTCCCGTGTGCAGGCGGCACTCCCCGTACCGCACGCTGGAGCCGGTTCGGCCCCCGGTGGTGCCCAACGACTACGTGCCGAGCCCCACGCGCAACATGGCGCCCTCACAGCAGAGCCCTGTCAGGACGGCCTCCGTCAACCAGAGGAACCGCACCTACAGGTACCCACGGGGGCAGAAATGCTCTGCTAAATGTCCAGTCCATCTGCACCTACCTCTACAGTGAAGCTTCCTCATTCATCACGTGTACTGGGAATGTAATTTGGCACGATGAGAATAGGGCTGATAAAACCAGAATAGTGAATTATGTTACGGTTGTTCACTTAATCCCCCTGTTCACCTTAATTTTAGTGCTATCGGTTACAATACTTAATGAATTACTAAGACTGTGAAGTCTTTCAAGGAGGTAGATCATGATACTGTTTTACTAAATGCTTACAAAACTGGGGAAAGACTTTGTACACATCTTGCCTTCTGCATGTTGAAAGGCTGCACCGTATGCTTGTATGTGACATTTTGAACAGTCTTTGATGTTTATAAGTTGAGTAGCTGAAACTGTAGCATAGTATTTTGAGGATATTCATAATTTCAAACACAGAATAAAGCTGAACTGTATTACCAAAGGTTCTGCTAGAAGACTAGCTTTTTCTCTAGGATAATAGGTTTCATGATGTGATAGGTTTAAATACTTCCCTGGAAATCTTTACTTTTTAAACATTGTAAGTACTTGAGAATGGCTAAATAGATGGATTCTAAAGTATAAGAAATGTGAATTTTACTTTATTATCTTACAATTTCTCATATGAAAGCATATGAATCACAGTCTAAGCAGTCTACATGTTTTAAAGTTATAGGAAAAGGATCTGTATTTGCTCCATAGGAATTTAACAATCCTGGAATGATGTGCTTTGAACAAGGTTATGGAAGCATTTCATTTTTGGGCAAGTTCACTAAGACTAAATGAAAAACCTGTTGTGTTGTAGTCAAAGTGAAGAGTTTTACAAAAATCCAGCTTTATATAGATTTATATCATCCTTGTTTCTTTTCTTGTGTTCCCTGTTATTTCTCTGATTTAGTAAGGTGCTATATGAGAGATCTTAGATTTCAGCATGCACAGCAGCATATTCATACCATGGTGATTTTGGTTTCTTACAGCAGCAGTGGGAGTAGTGGAGGAAGCCACCCAAGTAGTCGGAGCAGCAGTCGAGAGAACAGTGGAAGTGGAAGTGTAGGTGTTCCCATTGCTGTTCCCACACCATCTCCTCCTAGTGTCTATCCAGGTAAATGGAAACTTGCTGTCCCTCTTTCTGACTCAACAGTAACCTTGAGCATTTGCATTTTCCTAAACTCCAAGGAAAGTCTGAGTTCATCGCTATTGATAGTATGAGTTTGAATCAAGTAGTATCTTCTCTGAGAGTGTCTGATGTGCTGTTATGCTCCTTTTATGTATTAATTTGTTTATCAGAATTTTTTGCCTGACTGCCTGCATGTGACAAGGTAGGACACAGCACCTTTTTCAGTGGGCTGAGGGAAACTTCTCCATTGTCCTTTTAAGCAAATAAATTTTTTTTTGTTGGCTGTTTATGCAGATACATAGAAGCATGTTTTTAGAAAATTAGATTAAATGAGAGGCAGGCACAGAGTAAATCTTTAGTACGTTAATGCAAGCCTGAGTTGTCACAAAGAGATACTTGCTCAGTTTTATGGCCTCAGTCTTTCCAGAAATAGGAAGTGTTATTAGTGTTTCTTTTTCCTTTGCTCAACCTTTTCAGTGAAGAAGAGTGTATAGTTGGCTTGCAGCGTGATCTGAAGTACATGATGCTTCTGAAACAAAGAGATGGAAATTTTTGCTTTCCTCTTTATATTTTCTAATTCGTACAAAAGCTAAAGTCAGCCATGCTGCAGACTGAAGGATAAATAACAAAATGTAAAGACATCTTTCAAAAGTAATGGCTTTCAATGAAAAGTTCTGAGTTGTTCCCTTCAGATCTGGAAAGTGGATTTGTTTGACCCTCATTTACCATCTACATAGGAATGAGCCTTTCTTTAACAGCTCCATTGTTCTCTCATCTCATGCATTCTAAAATACTGTGCAGCTAATAAATAGCTAACACTGAATAGTCAAAGGCTTTCTCTAATCCTTGCTAACATATCTCCTTATTAACTCCACCTCTTCCTCCTCTCTTCACTTAGCCCCTGCTGGCTCAGCTGGCACTTCTCCCCTTCCTGCTACCTCTGCTCCTGCCCCCACTCCTCCTGCTCCTGCCCCTTCCTCCGCTGCCCCAGATGCTGCTGCTGCTGCAGGAGCTCAGCCCCTTGCTGATGGCTTCACCTCTCCAACTCCCCCCGCTGTTTCTTCCACACCCTCTACAGGTGAGTGTCTGCTCCAGCTGCTGGCAGATGAACCCAGATGTGATCATGATCCAAAGCTTTGCAAAGTTACTTCAGCAGTAGTGATTAATAATTTCTTTAAAAATTTAGTTATAACTAGAAAATATCTGCTACTACCCAACAGTAAGGTTATAGTAAGGTTATAGTAGACAATTGAAGGTGTGCTAGTTTTATAAACAGCAGTCATTTAATTTTGTAATTTGACTATTTTTACAGTTCTATAATTATTTATTAAGTTGTAATTTCTGTTTGCATACTGAGAACCTCATAGAATAATGATGTTTGAAGGGAAACAGCACTGATAGTTCTGGTTTGGATTATTCTCTTTCATTAATGGTATAAATAAAAAGTGCATCTAGCAAAGTATAATTTATATGACTGATCTCTTCAATGCTTTCAAATGACAAGTCTCTCCTCAATGAACTGATAAAAAGGGCAGGTTTTTTGTGTTCAGTATTAGGTAAAATACAAGTTTTTATTATGCAGAATAATATCAAAGCATTTTGTTTTACTATGTGGTACTTTGTGTATATATTGCAACTTCCTTTTTTTAGTGCTGCAGTTTTCATTTTCTCATGCTGAGGTTGCAGCGTGTAGTAGTTACCAGGCACACCACTGTCCTGTATCAGCTTTTGATGGGGAGGGACACCTCATTGTAAAGTTCTCCTTTAGACAGCCAAATTCATGTGTAGCTACCTGCATGCTGTGTTACTTTTCACTGTAGCAGAGGCTGCTCACAAAGGTGTGAATTGGTTTATGTGTTTATTAGTGTTCATATCTTTTAGTAAGAATTGCACCAGGTTCCAGAAGCATTCTTGAAATTGCATTTAGTTTTAAGGGGCTGTGGCTCATATAAAATTAGAAAACACACTAGAATCCATAACTGTGACTAGAACTTCCTGAAGTGTTTCTAAAGATTTTGGTATCAGAAGATGATCCTGATATCTAAACTACTTTTATGTTTAGAAGATGAGCTGTGCCATATGGGACCTCAATCAATTTTCCATTTTTGATGCACTGTCAGTATCCCAGTTCTTAAGCCATGTTGTATCTGTATTTTTAACAAGTCAAAACCAAGCAGAAGTTAATATTTTAGTGACTGTAAACTCACATTCACAATTCCATGAAAGAAATTTCAGGTTACTTACTATTTTTAACATCTTTTGTTTCCCTGTGCTATTAGTGAGATTACTTGTATGGCTTCTCTGAAATAAAATATTTGAAGAAACTGGATAATTCACCATTTATGAGGTTGTAGTTTTTGATCCTTGAAAACCTCTTATCCCTGTTTTTAATCTCCTCCCTTCTCTCCAGTCACCACCAATTTGTACCAGTGCATTAAGGAACATAGGGACAGACACACTGGAGAGATGCATCAGGAAAAATGTGAAAAAGCCCACATACTAGGTGGATTCTTTGTTAGCTGTTCCTCGTCTGTAAAAAGTGCATTTTTTAAAATATACTTACCTGTACAAAACAGGAGGAATGTGAACCTCTAGTTCATGCATTTGCTCTTAGAAGCAAGTAACAGAGCAAGCAAATAAAATTTGTGGTTTTATTTACTGACCTAGTGTAAACTTTTGCAAAGCAATAAAAACATAGTGGAGAACAATGCAGGTTTTTTAAAAATTGCACATTCCTTTGTTTTGTTTCCCTGTTTGATTCTCTCCTCAGCTGCAGTGACCATCCCTTGTTTTCTTGCAAACTCTGAAATTTACTTCTAGGACAAATGGTGGAGGCAGAATAGTTGGGGGGGGGTAATAACCCATATGGGTATAATAAATCCAGCTTACATACAGTATAAAATCTGGAGAACTTTATGTGAGCACAGAAAATAGCTTGCTTCATTTATTGCTTGTTTAGATTCAGGATTAATGACTTGAATACAAGAAGTAATGAAAACAGAGAATAAGTTTTAAAGGACTTGTTTTAATTGACAGCTCCCTGAAAGAGGGCTTTTGAGTATGACTTCATTTATTCCATCCTTTAAGCCGTTTCTGACATTCTCCTCTCCCCAAGATGATCCTCTGCGTATCTTCCAAACAGCACTAAGATAGGTAGTATTGTGTTTTTTAGTTCTAGAAAGTAACAGCCATGAATCCTGGAAATGGCATACAGTTATTTTTTACATGTATGTTCCTTAATTGCAGGACTCTGAAGTGTTATTTTTTTTCAGGTTTATAAAAAACTGAATTTGCAAGAAGTTATTGTAATCCATTATTTAAAACACATAACTGGGGATAATTTTTTTCCATTCTGAAGTTTTGTAGCTTAGACACCTTTGTATTTTCATACTGGCTTTCGTAAGCAGTGCTGAGGACAGGCAGTTGGGAGAGTTGAACGTGTTGCTGTTGAGACATCCAGTGTCCTGCCAGTCTGGCAACATCCTTCTGGGATGCAGACTGTCTTAAAAGAAAAAAAAACAGAAACCTTTCCAAGCCTTTGAAACTTGAAAGCAGGTATAAAAAAGACAGGTATCATTCTTCTCTTTGCTAATACATTTCCGTTTCTAACCTAGGTCACCCAGTTCAGTTCTACAGCATGAACAGGCCAGCATCTCGACACACCCCCCCAACAATAGGGGGCTCTTTGCCATATCGGCGTCCTCCTTCCATCACATCCCAGACAAGCCTTCAGAACCAGATGAACGGAGGACCTTTTTATAACCAGA